ATGGTGCATCCATCGAGCCACTACAGCCACCCCCCACCACCTGCCTCCAAAGGTGAGCCCTGAGGGAACTCAGGATGGAAACAGGATGCCTGCCAGAAAGCAGTCAGCCACCACAGCCACCCTCAACAGTGCACCCTGGGGAGACACAGGATGCTAAAGAACAGTATACTTGTGCTAGATAGCTAAGGTACACATCAAAGGAATGATTTCAGTGAGCCCAGACTCTTCCTCTTCCCATAAAGAGGAAACTGCTAAATTCATTACATTGAGATATCTGGTTTTCTTTAATTAACAGGAAGTTTTTGATGTTCTGACTTCCTGATTTTTCTTGTAAAACTCCTATACAGCCTGGGTCCTCCTGTACCTCTTTGGAGCAGTCCATCAGAGCTATCTGAGAGGCTGCCTCCCAGGCTTAAAGTCTTCAGAAGTCCTGCTGAACAAAACACAATTCTCAACTTTTACCTTGTGCATTTTCTTCAATCGACAGCCTTCAGGAATGAGGCCAAGCCTGGACAAAGTCAGGGATGAGAAGCTGAGCTCCATGCACGGGAGGCTATAGATGTCCATGCTCAGGCCAGCATCTGTCCGCACCCAGGGATGCACTCACTGCCCCCAGAGTGTGTGACCAACTAGCGCTGCTGACCCTTCATCACAAGGGAAAATCCTCTTAGGTGTTTCTCTCATACTGGGTTTCTCACCCATAGCTCTATTGACATTTCAGGCTGAAGACTTCTTTCTGGATAGATGCCTAGAGCACGGCAGCTTGTCTAGCAGCATCCCTGGACTCTACCCACTTGATGCCAATAGCTACCGCCCACCCTCTGAGGACACCCAAAACATTTGTCAATGTTGACAAATTTCACCAGGTGTGGCCAGAAGGAGAGAGTAAATGAGCCCCAGTAGATAGTCACTGTTCTAGCACTGGAAATACTTTACACCAGTTCCTCCATACCCTGTTATAATATCCTTAAGGACCGGATATTCACAATGCAAGTGCCTAGACTTACCAAGAAAATGTGGACATGCAGTGGAGGGAAAATTACCAACGGAATTGAGAAGCGATGTTGGAGATACCTAATTAACC